CCCCCCCCCAAATTTTTTTCGACTTACACATTTTAAGGTAAATGGCTTTTTTATGCAAGATGAGCATGGTTCTAAAATATGGGTCAAGTTGGGCGGGTTGGGTTATGACCCATTGTTTAGCCCATCTTGACCCAGCTCATCTTAGCCCAAGTACACTTTGGGTTGAGTAGGGCAATGACCCATTTATTGACCTAACCCATCTTGACCCGCCCAAATTCAGCCTAACCCGCCCATTTGCTGCCCCTAGACTAATAGGTAGTAATGTCAAGAGTACCTTGAGAAAGGTCATTGATCTCTTTCTGAATTTGATACAACCTCGCTCCATTAGTTTGTTCATAGCAATCCTCTCATTCCTTCAAAAGCTCAACCGCATCATTTGCATATTCTACACTATCTGCGATTTCTTTCGAAAGTGAGTTTAGAATCCAGGATGTCACCATGTTGTCACAACGCTCCCATTGTCGAAATTGTGGTGATGAAGGATCTGGTTGTCTGCACTCTCCACTTATGAAACTTAACTTGTTCTTCACAGACAAACCTCTCAACACACTCCTCCTCCAAGACCTGTACCCTATTCCGTCAAATGCAGTTGAAACCAACATAGCTCCTGGATTATCAGACAGGTGGAGGTACATAGGATCAAATCCTGTGCCCGTCGGAGTGACGGTGGCGGTAGTTTCCACTCCGGTTGAATCGTCTTGATCAATGACATCCATAACAAAATGTAATTGAGGAAAAAACAGAGGAATTTTCAATTTTCAACTATTACAGATTTCGACAACAAGTAAATGAGACGAAAAATCAAAATTAGGGCTAAATTCAAAATATCTGATGAAATCAAAAACAGAGGTAATGGAACAAGAAGATAAAGATGAAGACGATATACGAGATTAACCTCACTCTGATACCATGTAAAGATCGTTACTGAGAGCAGAGCAATTTGAGCTCAACCATGTCTGCCATGGCAAGTGGAGAAGCTTATAGAATTGAACGAAGAAAATGGAGAAGAAGGAGACCAGGAAAATGATGAAAAGAAGCTCGAGAACTTTTTCTAATAGCTCGTAGAGTATATATACACATGTACTTGTACAACTAGCAACAACTAATTCTAACAATGAATTTACTAACTCTAACAATGACACTAACTAGCTCTAACTAACTACTTGAACAATAAATATCTCAATAAGAAGGAATAATAATAAATAGTACTGTTTATGATGAACCCGTTTGTTTTCTAGTTCGTATATTTTATGAAAAAAACAGAATGAGATTATTACAAATGTAAAGGTTGTTGTAGAATATCCAACCCCCAATATTACAAATTATTAAAAACTAACAGAAAAATCGGTCTTGGGCCAAGGGTCTATTGGAACAGCCTCTCTATCTTCACAGGATAGAGGTAAGGTCTACATACACACTATCCTCCTCAGACCTTACGATGTGGGCTAAAACTGAGTATGTCGTTGTTGTTATAACAGAAAATTCGGTACTTATTATGTAACATTTTCCGTGTTTTTAATTTGTTGGTTTATTAATTATATGGTATGTAATAATAATCTAAGAATGTTAAAAGTAGACTTTTTATAAATACTATCAAACAAAAAAATATGGTATATACATAGATTACTTACTGAAAACACTTGTTTCATTGAATTTTCTTTCTTCAATTCGATTTAACTTTTAGTTTATTCTATCATTTATGTGACTGATTTCCACGGAAACAGAATGTTTGAAGGACATTAAAGTTTTCTCAATTGATTCTTTCCATCTTTTTCTTTTTTAAGGTTTTGAAATTTTATATATTACTAACAATTGATATATAGTACGTATAAGCTCAAGGTTACCACTAAATTATTTATACATTACATATTTTTGTATTACTAACAATTGCTTCCTCTCTTGTGTTTTTCTCATTAATGCAAATATTTTCTTGTAATCATACAAATATTAATTATGTAGTCGTAAGCTTAAAACAAAAGGACCACTCAATAACTTGTTTTCTTCTACTGAACGTACCACAATTTAATAAGTGAAAATTGAGAATTTAAATAAGCTCCTTTTATTAGTTTGGTGAGAAGGAGAGCACTGCTAATACATACTGATAAAGCTAAGAGCACTTCTGCATATGATATTTAATTAAGTCGTAAAGCTAAAGATGACATAATTTATGTGATTAAGAGTGTATTTGGTATAACGGAAAATATTTTTCATGGAAAATACAAGTAGTAATCTTATTCATTTTCCGGTGTTTGGTATGTAAATTAAGGAAAATAACTTTTTAAGAGTATTCATAAATAATTTAAATACAATAAACATAAAGCCATAAACTTTCGAACCAACAATCTTCCAAACCCACAAATTTCATAAACTTCCCAACCGCTAAACTTTCGAATCCACAAACTTTTGAACCCGTAAGCTTTATAATTTCTAAACCCGTAAGCTTCCAAATAAACCTCCGAACTCATAACTTTGGAACTTGTAAAATTTTGAACCTGTAAACCGAAAGATGAAAAAACTAACACTGAAAATAAATTAAAAAAAATTCGGGGGGAGGGGGGAGGGGCAGAGAAATGAAAAAACATAAATTTGAAATTACAAAAAAAGAAAAACATTTTTTTGTGTGGGGGGATAGAGTTTGGCCGGATGAGGTAGGTGGTGCAGAAAAACGAAAAAACAAAAATTTAAAAATTACAAAAAAAAAAGTAGAAAAAACTT